GAAATGAAACAATTATGAATATAATGAATGTAACAATTATGAATATAATGAATGTAACAATTATGAATATAAAACATTGTCATTTACAGGCATCATACATTGTTTTCTCAATTATATGACAACGATTAAATTTTGTAGTTTTTTTTTTAGTCATTGTCAGCTTCTACATTTTACAGAAGTATCTTACCCCAATGAATCTCTGCAACAAATGAAGCAACAATAAAACATGTAGACAGTGACTAATACTTGCTTCCTGAAGGCAAAGACCATAACAGAAATGTTCTACTTAGCGTTCACCATCCGTAATCTCCGGCAAAAAGTTCTAGTTTTTTTATCCACTTCAGGGCTTTGGTATTGTTTGAGAAAGTGAGCTGTTTGTGCGCATCCATTTTAGATCTGGCTTACTTGTATGCAGCCTACTGGTTCCTCGCCTCTCTGTAGTATTTTTCCCGCCAAAAAAAACGGGCACTGTGACCTACACGGGGAGTAGCATGCCGGGCAAGAGGGGATGCGGATCATAGAAAGAAAAGTTCCTTGTTAACTGAAATACATTAACCATATAAAAAAAAGCATCATGGTTTGGAGTAAGACTGTAATGGAGAGTATGGTTCCTGGAAGGAGAGGCAGAGGACAACCAGCTCAACAGTGGACAAAAGATATCAAAGAAACCCTGGGCATAAAATCTTGCAAGGAACTGAGTGGCCTTCCGACCTGCTGTGATGAGAGGCATTCTGCAAAGGACCTGCTTCACATCCGTTACCTTAAAATGATGACAGCTGTTCACTAAAGGAAAAAAAAGATCTGACAGGCATTATAATATGCTCACAGCAATCAGATATTCCTTCCTTTATTCTGTTTCTACTTCTTTAATACATCTTCTATAAGTGCTAATCAACATCTCTATCTTTTCCATTATCTTTATTACAATCATCATTATTTGCACAGCCAACTGGCATAAGTGATCATGTCTCTACAACTCAAATAGTCAATTATATTTAAATTATACATAAATGCTGTCTTGATTTATCAGGTCAGGATCAGCAACATACACTATAGCAGGGCTATTTAACTGGTGGCTGTCTTGATTGATTGATTGGGTCAGGATTAGCAACATTCGCTATAGCAGGGCTATTTAACTGGTGGCTGTCTTGATTGATTGGGTCAGGATCAGCAACATTCACTATAGCAGGGCTATTTAACTGGTGGCTGTCTTGATTGATTGGGTCAGGATCAGCAACATTCACTATAGCAGGGCTATTTAACTGGTGGCTGTCTTGATTGATTGATTGGGTCCAGATCAGCAACATTCGCCATAACAGGGCTATTTAACTGGTGGCTGTCTTGATTGATTGATTGGGTCCAGATCAGCAACATTCGCCATAACAGGGCTATTTAACTGGTGGCTGTCTTGATTGATTGATTGATTGGGTCCAGATCAGCAACATTCGCTATAGCAGGGCTATTTAACTGGTGGCTGTCTTGACTGATCAGGCCTGTGACGATAATCATTTTCAAAATGTTGGCCAATGAGTAAACTTAGTTGAACAGCCCTGTTGTATAGGAATGAAACTATGAATAACTGGTCAAGTTGTTAGAGCACTGGACTTTTATTTGGGTGACTCAGTAAGGAATGTAGATATTTTGTGTGTGTCTGTGGCAAAACTATAAATCCTAAATTGTAAGACATGGCCAGTGCACTAGCCAGGCGATCTAAAATCCTGTCTTACGACCTAATTGTCCTCCTAAACTGCATCTCATCCTCCTTTGCAAAACATCACTTTCATCATGGTCTGCCTAAAAGAAACCTGAACTGTCTCCAGCTCTCCCGCCTTCTAAACTTTGACCCAAGGTGTCCTGTGCCCATCTCTGTGTTGGTTGGTCCTTGCCCCTGTCTTCTGGTACCATGCCTTCTGCTACTATTTCTTCCAATCTGCCATGACACTTGGCTAAAAATATTTCAGTCTCTGAGGCAAAAAGATGTTTACTAAATAATCTTCCTCAATGTTCTGATCTTACGGTGTGTCAGCATTTCTATTCTTCTCTGTCCTCTGTTCTGGGAATCTTTCTACAGCATTTCAGCTGAAAAACTAGTTTCTTCCTTAAGGACTTCAATGAGACACTGCACCTAAGAGTGGTAAATACCAGCAGTAAAGACAACAACCCAAAAGTTACTGCAGGAACGCCTCAACCAAGGAACATACAGAAACAGCAGTATACACCACAGCACTACCTCTTTCTTTACTTACATACAATCGTCCATAAAACATGTTTACATTTCTTCTTTCTCTTAAAGAAATGTAGAAAGGGAAGGAAGAAATGAGACAGCATCTTGTATATAATGATTTTCAGAACACTGGTAAAAAAATATTTACCAACAGGCAGGCAACCGTCAGACCCCAAGGACCAGGGTGTTATGTTACTGGTTTTGGAAACAGTGTCTGCTATAAAGTATAAAGTCTAATGGAAGTGGGCAGTCTCTGCCACATCGTCCACATGAAAAATGTTGATACTCTTACTAACAGTAAACAATATTTTTCAGAACAACTGTATAAAATATTTATAACAATAAAAACTGCCAATGTGTTAACAGGTAAATATCAGTGAAGCAGACACTATAACATACCATGGATGTCATAAGACACAACCGAGGAGCCTAATCTGTGGACCATTTCTCCAAGCCTTATGTGCACTGTCCGACTGGTCAGATTCTGCAGTTAAAATTTCTACGGAATGAAGTAACCAGTCTGAGACGAACCCTGCTAAACTACCTCTTATGACATGCATGGTAGATAATAGTGTTACTTTGCTTTGCTTCCCTTGTGAACACTAGTAAACCTTTCTTACTATTCAAGATTTTGACATCAATAGAAACATTATCTCTGTAAAAAATGCTAAGCTCTATGCTGAAACTAGCCAATTTACTGCTGACACAAAATAATGGTACCCTACTTATAAAATCATCTCAATGACAAGCACTTGTCAAACTGACCATAAGCAAGTGTGGCTATTATCTTCTACTCTCTGTAGGTAGCTTTACAAAATCAACAAACACCAATAATTCAAAAAATATGAAAGTATAAAGTAGGGCTGTACCTAATATTCGCTTTGTATTCGCTTCGGGCCGAATAGTGGACCTATTGGCTATTCGGTATTCGGCCAAATAGTTGCGGTCGGGCCGAATGCGAATAGAAGTTACTTTACACCTGCTTCTGCATACACGGCGCTAATACTGACAACATGGAACGATTGGTTTTGTTGAAAGCTAATGTAGCTTTCATGCATTAACTAAGCTGTCAGTGACAATTTCCAAGTTACTTGTTATAATACTTAGGATTCTTTCATTCCTAGTTATTAGTTACCACAGACTGACTAAAGGTTTACTATTCTGAATACTAATTAGACATGGAAAAAATATAAATTCCGGCCACATCGAAGTCGATAATATGAAAATCAAACGAACGGAAACATATAAGTACTTGGGTGCAGACTTCAACTGCTCCAGCAGGCCGAGAGAGGAAATACAATCTAGAATACAATATAGAAATAAAGTATACTATGCCCTTCAACATCTGCTAAAGTCAAAGTGCTGTCTTGCGACACCAAGATCAAAACATTGATAAGACCAGTCGTGTTATATGGCTCTGAAAATTGAAGCAGAAATAAAAGTGATGAGGCCTTATTACAGGTTTTCAAAAACAGTCTTACGACAAATCTTTTGACCTATCAAAGACGCAAACAGCGGGTAATGGAGACTGAGAAGCAACAACGTAACACATAATCTGTTTAAATCACCATTGATCACTGGCATCATGGGAGCTAACAGACTAAAATGGTTGGGGCATATTGAAAGAATGTCGATGACAGAGAAGTAAAAAGTATACACCTGAGAGAGGAATGGGTGTAGACCACGAGGCAGACAAAAAAGAAGTTTGAGAGATAATGTCCAGCCAGACCTGCAAAGAACTGGTGTCACAAATTGTGAAGAGAAGGCCAGCCAGAGAGATGCATGGAGACGATTGATATCTGCAGCAGTAAACCTCAAGGGCTCAGAATGCTAAAGAAGAAGACAACTATTCTGTGCTACTTTAAGTAAAGTAAAAGTTCAGCGTACATTTGACATTATGAATGTGTTTGTTTTTTTCTTCTTTTAGACACAATACACTATTCGTATTCGGCCAAATAGTTGGTCCCGTTATTCGTACTCGGCCGAATAGTGAAAATCACTATTCGGTACAGCCCTAGTATAAAGGGTCATTATAAAGAATATGTATTTTAATCAGTTTTTTACAAACATTAAACCCAATGGCCTGCACTATTTCTGAAGAACTATAAAGACTAAAATATGTAGCCATTTAATGTCCCTTATTTTTTAACTTCCAGGATTTTCATTAGCTGAAAATGCAATGTTTTTCTGGTATAACAATAGAATATTCTTAGAAAGTGCTACATTATTATAACGACCTGTCTACAACTATCACATCTGTCATTCTCTCAACAAATTTAAATTTGTGTGTGTGTTTTTTTTATAGACTTAGCTGAAAATGCACTGCATAAAGCTTACAAAATTTAAATAATAGATATTTAACGTTCAATGTGTTTACAACTTGTTCCTGACAGTTTACATCCTACTATCATTACTGGGAAAATCAACAGAATATTCTTAGAAAATGCTGCAATCATATAATGATTTATAAAGATTATTCTTTTCCTATCATTATTATGGACATAAGAATGGTGAACAAGTATTTGAAAATGACACTGTCAAAATTTAACATTTGAAAATATTCCTCAATTTAAGTTATGATGTGGGTGCCCGAATCAAAAGAAGTTTGAAAGCATAAGCCTAAACTGTGTAAGCTCCACTAGGTTTAGAACATTCTTGATAAGTGCAGCAGTTTACAAGATGTCAAAGACGTTGTAATTCAGCATGTGCCCACATTCCTGCTTGTCAGGAAACATTAGCTATGTACAAGGACAAAATCATTTTGGCTTCTATGATGTCAAGATACACTTGTTTCTCGTACAATTGTTTCTCTGAGTTTCTGAAATCTTTTCCATTCCCCTGTTGCATAATTCATCTGGAAGTAGGTGTCTTCAGTCTTGACTTTCTTACTTCCATCTGACAACTCCGTAACTTCCTCTTTTTCACCAAGTTTAATGTTCAAAACATCTCCCTGCTGAGGGCAAGGGTTATCTGAAAGAAAACCAAAAAAAATTTGTTTCTGTTGAAAAAGATAAACAATCTGTTCTGCTGCATGTTCCTACAGTGTATAAGGCAAGAGAGAAAGACAAGAAGAATGGACATATTTATGTAAAGTTTCTTAGGAGCAATCATGTTCCCTTTCCTCTGTCCGGCGTGCTGTGATGATAATCCTTTCTAATCACTAATCTTCCCTTTCTGTCACATAATCATAAGGTTTGCTTGTTAGGATGACAACAGGTTTATTCTTGTGCCCATACAAGCGCACCTTGGAGCTCATATACAGGCAATATGATAAAAAGACAAGAAAAATAAGGTCCATTGTGGAAGCTGTAATAAGCTTACAATAATCTGCATTGTCCTTATTTCTCAGTGCCAGCAAATAAAGAAGGGAGAAAGATTATATGTCGTAATAAAACAACAAAAAATGTGTAAAGTTACAAAGTTAGCAGTGACTGATCTATGCTAGAAATTATATCAATGCTGCATGAACATATGTTGATGTCAAACTTCAACTGTAAGAACCAAACAGGGAAGCCATTTGCCATAAACATAATCACTAATCCAAAAATTTAATATAAAGTTACTACATACCAATCCATACAGAGAAAGGGTTTTGATAATGAGGACGCAAACAACATATATTACAATTTATTTCTTGGCATATTTTGATGTATCTTGTCAGTGCATACTACATAATTTACATAAACATCGTTGGCACTTTGCCAAAGTCACCTTTTTAGCAAATTTCACCTCAGGCCTATTTTTTTATATGCCAAAGACACACATGGGAAACATGTGAATTCCCAATCCAAAATGAAGTACTGTATTTGTCAGTATATAAGACACTTTCTTCCCTTAAAGTATGCCTTAAAATTAGGATGATCTTATTCAACGAAGGTAGACCTACCTGTACCATTATATTTTTTTTTACAGCAAATTGTAAACTCTAGGTGATAAAATAACCTGAAGAAAAGAGCAATAGGTAGAATGTCATTTGCTACCTCCACCAACTAAAAAGAAAAAACCCAAGACTTTGAAGGTCTCAGCAGAATGTTTTGTGCTAAATTAATGAAGGAAAGCTTGCACAACATGAAAAAAGTTCAAAATACGAACTGATTGCCACTAAAATCAGTGTCCTATATACCAACAAATACGGTATTACTTTTCATGTGACTATGCAATTTGCATCTGCCACATTCAAACGTGATATTCTCAAAACAAGGATTTCCCATTTAGATGACTTGAACACAGTACCAATGACTTTTTATGAAGCACACACAAAAATCCTTTTGAGTGAAATACACAAGCTAATATATTGTGCATGTCCTCACTATTTAACTTCACAATGTGAAAACAAGACTTTAAATTAAAGTCAAGACCCACAAAAGGCAACATGACATTTGTACACAGTGAATCAGTGACTGTAAATACCTCTGGATCCAGCCATAAATCCTAGAATTAGAGCTTTTTCTGGTCTTGATACTTTGTTTGACACTTTGAACATTTGTTGGGCCTCCATCATCTGTTCTTTCTGTAAGAGAAACAAACATTTGAAATAGTTTTTAGACTTTTTATTATTATAAGCTGGCGTGTTTTGGCATATATTTTGTGCTGAAAGATCTTTAATCTAACTAGGTAAGCATACTGAAATACATTTCTAACTGAATAAAAAAAATTCAAACAATCTTCTGCTAAGTGAAACTTGCTTATTCGTTTAAAAAAAAAAAGAACAAGAAAATGTTTAAATTCATTGAGATTGACAGATATGGTCGTTATACATGAAAGTGTGGGTCTGAGCCTCAGTAAAAGACAGAGAGATGTAATAACAACTTGAAAGAAACAGACCGTGCCTAAATGTTCAATTAAAATCAATTATAATAATTGAGACAAGTACATACAGTCAAGTATGAACACATACAATAATGTCAGATGCCAGAAGTATTATAGAGATAAGGAACAGAATAGAAAAAGCAATAGTTTTTTTTTTGAATATCTTATGCAGTAAAACCCTGTCACTGAAAGTTTTTTTAAAAACCCACAATTCTTGCTTTTTAATCAATTTTAATCAATGGCTATCAATAACATAGTTCCAGCGGCGTTTTCGTATGTGTCTAATTTTATACGAAAACGCCGCTGGAACTATGTCGGCCACGCCCTTAGAATGGATAAATCAAGACTTCCTTATCAAGCCCTCATTTGGACACCACAAGGGAAAAGATCTCGTGGAAGACCAAGGGAAACCCTACGTAGAACTATCATCAGGGGAGGCTCGCTCATGGGCCACTCAAACATCCAAGACCTACAACGGATTGCAACGAACCGCCATGCATGGAGAGTCATGACCGCACTCGACACAAGAGGAAAGACTAACCTAACTAACCTAACCTATCAATAATGAATTATTAGTAAATGAAGCTAAAAATCCCTTGAGACCTCAGAGATGTGTTCTGTAGAAGAATTCTAAACATTTCTTGAATAGCCAAAATGAATAATCTAATTCATTAATTTTTGTAAAACTGCAAACACAATTTATTACAAACCTTGGAAAGAGGCAACTGATATTTTCTGTCAATGTCATGAGAAAAACAATGCTGTGAACACTGAAAAGATCTGTGGGGGGAAAAAGTGACAGAGGAAGACAATCGGAGAAAATTCTTGATTGCCTTTTAGCATGGAGGGATGTCAACACATAAACCGATACATGTTGTTGGGAGGCATGATTGCTGACACCAGTCAGCAAGGCACCTGATGATGATGAGAACAACTAGAACAAGCTGTGAGAATTGAAAAGATATATGGAAAGACAGAGAGGAAGATAAGGAGAATTATTCTTGACAGCCTTTGTTATGACACAAAAAAGTTTTTCAGAGCAACAAATTAACACATGTACTGAAGATTTCAAGAGGCAGACGGACATGATCACCATTAAGGCTGGTAAGGAAGACACTTGGTGATGACGATCATGATGATGATAAATAGGATGCAAACATTTTATTAATTCATTAATCTTCTTCTTGTCTGCGTTCTCCAGCTGCAAACTTAGTGAAAGGTTCTGGTTGTTCATTCATTTCTAGACTTTAGTCTTGTTCCAGAACCTGAGTTGTGCATGTGAATCTGTTTTACAGATATGGCTTATCTGTATGCAAACTGTTGGTACCTCACCTCTCAGGCAGGTGCACTCCAAGTTTGAAAGAAACATGCCCAATTAGATGCTTGTCAGGGAAACTCTTCTTTCAGAGAATAATTCATGAATAAGAAGCTGTGCACACAAATAAAGACAGAAAAACAATTTTAAACTCACGGTAAGAGAAAGATTTTTTCTGTCAGACGGTGCTAGCGGTGTTTGAACCGGAGATTGTTGGACAGTCAGAATCTGCGGCTGAGCTATTCTTACACCCTGCTGTACAAACATAGTTTGCTGCGGTCGTACTACTGCCGTGGGCAGAACGGTCGGTGACAGGGTCACTGCACTTGCCGACACAGCAGTGCCAGCTGGTGCTGCAGCCAGATTTGAGGTATTTGTAAACTTCTGGGCAATGAGGATTGGTGTCATCATGGGAATAGGCTGTGGCGTGGAGGGCTGCCCATTCTGAGATTGCTGTTTCAGCTGCTGTTTCAGCTGTGTTGAGAGATTCGGTTTCATGGCCGTAGAAGACACTTGTAAGCTTGTGATAGCTGGAAACAATGTCAAATGTAGTAAACAGTTAACACTGAAAAAATGCTTTTTATTTTCTTTATGCAAATACGGAATTACTTATTTTATTATGTCTTTAAACAACTGCTAGTCTAAAAGTCAATGAACAAGAAACTAATGCCAAAAGAATGAATACTAATTCGACAGAATTTCTAAAGAAAACATTAACACAACATATTTCAATTTCTGAAATTCTAATTAATTTGGAATAAAATACAGAGATTTAAAACAATAAAACTATTACAAACAGCCTTAAATAATTAATTATTAAGTATTTTCGAAGACTTTAAATTGAAAACCTAAACATAGTGCATGTGTGTGTGTGAAAGAGCAGGGAGAGGAGGGGAAGAAAGAGTCATTTTATCAATCAGATATATACACACACACATATATATATATATATATATATATTTTTTTTTTTTATTTGCGGATTAAGGCTTTGAAACCTAATTTCAAGCCTTTAAAATGTAACCACGACCTTGTAAAGCTTCTTCTTTGCGTTCACCAGCTGTAAACTCCGGTGGAAAGTTCTGGTTGTTCGTCCAATTCTAAACTGCAGTCTGCTCCAGAACCTGAGTGTTGCGTGTTCATCAGTTTAACAGATCTGATTCACTTGAATGCAGATTGTTGGTTCCTCGTCTTTCAGGCAGATGTTCTCTGACTTCAAAGGAAGCTCTCCAATTAGTCAACTCTTACGACATGCTTTTGGGTAGGTAGTGGGTCTATTCTTGTTTTCCCCACAATGGGGCCCCGGAACCCATACAGAGACCCCAGAACCCACACAGGGACCTTGTAAGGCTGATCTAATCCTTTTTTTTATTTTATACATATATATTCTGTCAATTTTATGATGATTTTGTTCCCATCTAGTAAAAGGTCTATCCATCTGATTCATCAACAGATAGCAGACCACAAATAAGAACGTATATACCAACTGGATATGGGAAGAGAGGCCCATCACATGAATAGAAAGAATAACAGAGTCCCAAGAAAACTCCCAGCTGTCATCAACATTAACATGTGCTGTGCGGATGAGCGTAGTCTATCATGTTTTGCCACCTCACACGACCACCATAATCAAGGATCAAGAGTCTTTGCCCCATCCATAATGGCTTAGCCATCCAGGTATTTACCTCTCTGCCTTCCCTTGCTCTCTTTCCATCAATCGTGTCAGTTGTAACCAAGCCCTCAAGTCCATTCTTCCTCATAGCATGTCCGAAAAACACAGTCTATGCCTAGATTCTGTAATCAGGTTACGGTTTCAGGTCTCGAGGAAGACTGCCTGATCTGTTTTTCTATCATTTTATTATATTCTTGTAAAAAGCCATATCTTTGCTGCGAGTAAATGTGTTTTCAGCTTATTTAGATATGAAGTACCCAAGCTGGCACTCTCTGATGGTGGTTCCTTCATCCTGACACCACAAGGTACCAGATAACAAAATAAGATGAAATAGGTTCCACGTGTGGGTTCCATGACACTATTCTGAGGCTAGACAAAGGAACAGACTGCCTCCTTACAAGTATGTTGTAAAAGGTGATTAATTAGAGATTTTTCCTCTGAAGTCTGAGTTAATCTACCTGACCAGCAAGGAACTAACAGTCCACATACAAGTAGGCCAGATCTATCAAATGGACGTGCAAACAAAACTCAACTTCTGGAACATGAGTGAAGTCCAGGAGTGGGGGAAAAAAAAGAACTTTCAGAGTTTACAGCTGGTGAATGCTAAGAAGAAGAAGAGGATGTGATAGTAAAAGTTATAAGTCCCTTCCTTTTTGTTGTGAAAGAATCCTCTGTAAAATCAAGGTACTTATTATTGCGCCTGTATAACCAGTAAAACACAGACAATTTAGGAATCACTTACCAGTAAGAGTAGAGGCAACTGTGTTCTGTCTTGCAGAAGTAGGTAAATATGCTGGTGACGGCTGAGGCAGAGATGAGGATGACACGCTTAAAACTGTAATTGGCATTTTCTGTGGAGACAAAAACTCAAGTGTTTCAATGGGGAACAACAAACACATAACAGACTGAGTTATTCAACTGGAAATTTCCTCTGCCTCAGAACATTCATTAACTGGTGCCGGCACAGAATATAGGGAATCAAATGGTATGAAAGAATCCCTAATGTTGCACTTTGGGAAAGAACTAAACAAGTTCCAGTGGACAAAAAGGTGAAGAAAAGATGGCGTTAAATAGGACATATGCTGAGAAAACCTGAGAACAATATTACTAGAATGCCTTTGCACTGGAACCCACAGGGGCACAAAAATGAAGCTAGACCAAAAAAAAACACACAAAGGGAGCTAGAGAGTGAAGTTGAAAATATGGGAATGACATGGAATGAACTGCATGTAATAGTGAAGGATAGACGGACTTGGTGAGTTGGTTGAGGGCCTATGCTCCCTAGGGGATAAAAGGCAGAAGAAGAAAAAGACAGGCAAGGAACCATGAGTCTTCATATAAACAAGCCAGATCTGTGAAACAAATGTTCATTTTACTCTCAGGTTGTGGAAAAAGACTAACGTCTGGAGCGGATGAACACCCAGAATTTTCCACCAGTAAATGCAAAGAAGAACACTGAAAACACCTGCCACATGCACACACAAAATTATACAGAACACTGAAAACACCCGCCACATGCACACACAAAATTATACAAAGTCATGTTTAAAAACACCTGACACAACACTCAGAATTGTTTAAATAATGCAAATGTATAATAATTATAACAACAGTAAATTCAAAACAATGTTCAAAAGCCTTTTAAACCCTTAAAACCTTTCAATTACAGTTAAAGTAAAATAGTATTTATATGAAACCTACAGAAGTGAACAGTAAAGATCACAGCCACGAAGTAGAGGAAACTTCAGCAGGATAGGTCTAGGGAGCCACATGTGCTCGTGAAAATCTCCACATTAGTTCTGGGGCCCTATTTTAGAGAAAGGAAAAAGGAAAAGGGGGAGGGGGGAGAATTGATCCAGTGCCCTTAACTAGCACGTCGAAATGGCAAATAATTACAAAATTGTTGAAATTGGATGTGATGGGTGGAAAGGTGCAGATAACCAGAACACAAATGTGCCAACTGCTCTTATAAGGGTGAATCCAGAAGAAGGAAATGCAAGAATGTTTCCTGACAGTTGGCCTGTAAGTGAGAGGCCTTCCTGAAATGTTTTCATCAATAGTGAGTTTGCTGCAAGAAGTGTGTGCTATCCCAAAGAGATTACTTTGAGGGAGGATTCCAGGCGAGTAACTTAATTGTTCAAAGCCATAGGCTGGAAACCTTTTGAAAAGACCTCATAGCTGACAGAATGAATTTATAAGAAAATGTGCGAGTACAATAAAACTAATAAAGAAATGCGGCAAAGGGTTTTGTGGTGACAGCTTAGAAAAGTGTCTGAACAGAACAAACATAGAAAACTCATTAGAACATCGTGAAAACTAAAAAAAAGGCAGGAAAACTCATGGAAATGCAGTAAAAGATTTTTTTAAAAGTATAGTAATTGACTGGAATGCACTGAAAGATAACAAATAGCAATGTATAAAAAAAGAAATATACAAGAATATCAAATGAAAGTATATTGAAAGTTACCAGACAGAATAAAACCTTATGTAAATACAGCAGAAATTGTCTTACTGCAAGGGAATCTCAAATTAATGAAGCAAAAACTATGAAACAGTAAAGAAACATAATGGCAATATAGCAAAAGCAACTAAACACCCAAAAAATCTCACTGGAATGCTAGAAATGTTGAGGAAATGACATCTGAGATGTAAACCTTGCTGACAGGTGACAGAATTTGCCTTTTAAACTCTAGCTTCTATCTCTGTCAAGCTTGAACCATCTTCTGTTAATATGCTTCCTAGATATTTGAATTCTTGTAATTGTTTTATTGTAGTATCACTGACTATAACAGGAAAACAAACAAAAATGCATTAACTGCTACAAACCATCAACACAAAGTAATGAAAGTAAAGAAGCATGTCAATTAAATGTGTACTTACTGGAGCTGCTGGTGCAATCAGACCTGCTGCATAGTCTGGAGTGTACGTCTGGGGAGCTGCAGTGGTGGTAGTGGTAGTAGTAGCTGATGGTGCAGTTGTTGCAGCTCCGGCTGCTGCCTTTTCTTTTTCTTTTTTCTGGGTCTCCTGGGCCATATCTTTCAAAAATATTATTCAACAATCTTTTACACTTTCTCAGCCATAAACAATATAGCAACCTAATGTATCACTAGATACGCAAGTTAATTAATAATCTACAAAAAAAGTTATTGTAAAAAGGGAAAAAAACATTAAATAACCACGTTTACATTTGATTATGTATATACTCTGGGTATATATTTTAGAGCTATTTTTTCATCAAATATCACTTAAACTGTAACAGTCAGTATTAAAAACTGCAGATTTACTTTCTCAGAACAAAGATATATATTTTACGAGGTTAGGTAAATCCTAAAAACTTTCTAATAAAAAGAAGCTCTGTACTGAATAGCTATTCTTTCGTGTACCTGTAAACAAATCTGGTTCTAATCATTTGACTCCAGGATGCTGCTAATCCGGCATCAGTGTCCTTTATAAATCCCTGAAAATCTGTCAAACCGATACTGCTGTACTGGCTGGCCGCCAACAAGCCTGGTAACATTATGGTTCTGTTTGCATCTAAGTCTACTTGAGAAACTGGAATGATTAAATTTACTATTTCAAACAAAGCTTTGGGGGCAGGGCAGTTTATTGGGGGGGGGGGGGGGGTCTCTAGGTATTGGGGGGGGGGGGGGGAGCCCTAGGGCTAGTGGTGGTGGGGGACTGTCTTTTTTAGTTACAACGATGTTATAAAGGGTTATAAGGTTACAGTATGCATCACAGTAGTTTTTTTAATTCTCTGCTCCACTTATTATTATTGATTATGCTCTTCAAACATTTCTTCTAAAAAATTTATGTTTAGATATAAACAAAATTCAACAGTGTGTGTGTGTTTTTTTTTTTTTGCTAAAGCATTTTTTTTTCAGGAATTCCTCAGTTCATAGCTGATACCTTCTTAGATTTTCTGGGGCAACAAAGTTAGTTAGGCGACAGATTATCATCATCGCACATCGAACCATTCAGTTCATAAGTACCCAGATCCCCTCTTCAGTCTCCATCCTCAACGTTTAGTGGCTTATGATACCACCTCTGTGTTGGTTTACCCTTTGACATCTCCCTCTCTTGTGCCTTCATTTCTTTTGCTACAAACCTGCTGATCGGCCACTGTGTATTATGGGGGGAAAAAACCACCACCACATGCTAACGAAAACAACTCAAGAAGGTTTCAGCTCAGATGCACGAACTCTGTAGCACTGGTGAAAATCTTGAGGAAGTTTTCTTCCTGGCCTACATTCTGGCACAATTATCTACACCGAAGTGAAGGAATTTCCACCGCTTAGACGGAGGGGGAAAAAAACACAGTTAGGGCATGAGAGACATGTTGTTCATTTTTTCTACTGATAGCTTAATTTGTGCCACCACGGTAACGCTAGAACACAGTAACGCTAGAAACTGGACTTTTATTGTCAGAGGCTTTTATCTTATAAATGCCATAAGAGCATTTGGTCGCATATTGATCCGACCTAATGCTGACCCCATTACCCACCTTGTGCAGATTGGTCTGTAAAAATCTGGGTGCTCTTCCCATATGCCCGATATGTCTAAAGGCGTGAAAAGGGATCTTCACTTACTGATCACAGGCCTCAATTACACGCCTGGCTATGACAACAATTAAGCAGTAATGTATGCCTGGGCACTATTTTACATATCTCACCTGCAATTTTCTTTCGTCTTTTAGCTTCTTTAGCACCGACTGGCATGTCCTCTATTTCAAGAAGCTATAATGCACCAACAAAAATTAGAGTTAAAAAGATAAAAGTTTTTTGCAATGGCCAATATAAATATAATCAATCAAAAATATATCAAGATTTCAGAATTGAATAATTTCTCTGCTTTGTGATTCCTGAGGTGTAGCAGTTCCAACAGTAAGCAATACATCTGCATATGCTTACAGGTTCCGCTTCCAATAATCACATCTTTATCCATTTGTTTCACTGTCTAAAATGAGTGGTAATTCAAATAAAATCCAGGGCAAACTATCTACTTTTTTCTGTAACTAAATTAAATTAAAGGCCGATGTGTTTTCTGAAAGTGTCAAGCTGGTTTGCCTTTACAATAGATATCATTGTCATAAAGCTGCCCAGGAGCTGTTGCCATTAAGGTGATAACTATTTTTATAACTATATATTAATATATTTAAAAAAAAATTGTGTCAATGAGGCTTGTGTTCTCAACACTCTTCTTTACGGCAGAGAAACGTGTTCAACATATTCCCACCAGAAAAAAAGGCTAAACAGCTTTCACATGTGATGTCTAAGAAAAATACTTGGTAATAAGTGGCACGACAAGATCACAAACACTGAGGGATTGGAAAGAGCAAGCATAACAACAGTTTTTGATCAATGCTCAGTCTCTGAAGGCTGGATCACACCTGAATAATGAAGGTTGGCAGAGCTCCTAAGGAAATCCTCTATGATAATTACAGATGGACAGAATATGTTGAGGGCGCCCTCTTCTAGGATATAAAGATGTCAGCAAAGAGGGACATGAATGATGCAGGTACTGAGGTAGATTCAAGGAAACAAAGTGACAAGGACCATGTTGTGTAGAGAAGGCAAATGAGAAACAGAATAAGCATGAAGGAAAATATTACTCCAAAACGGATGGGAGCTAAACATCTGAGAAGAGATCCAACGAATATGTCTTCATATGGGAGAAGACTGAAACATGAGCCGTACTTGTAGGAAAATATAATACTATACTATCTCTGCTGCGGATTGAAGCGCCCACCACTATTTTGGCATGCATGTGCACAAACCACCATATTACAGTGACTTCACTACAACTAGATTATGAAAATATAATACAAAGACATTATAAATCAGTCCTGCACATGGAAAACTGACACTGGCTCCTGGTTGCCCCAGGCTTAAATAGGTACCAGGTAAGATCCTGGAAAGTAAAGGTAACCAGCATGATGCTGATCACATCACCCGTCAAGTGCCAACTGGTCTATAAAATATAGGTCTAGCCCTATACGCCCAAAATGCCTGAAAGAATGGAAAAAGAGTCCTTTAGATTTTTACAAGCTTTACTAAGGATCTTCCTAAACAGTTTTAGTAATGTACTTCCACTCACTGTGTGGGATATGGGAGCCAATTTTGAGGTGGAGGAGGAGCATGAGGTTACCACTCCTTAACAAGCATGTCATAAAAGGCAACTAACTAAGAATATGCTGCAAATGAACGTGTTGGGTCAAAATGTGCAGATATTACAGCCTAGCTGAAACCAAAACACAGCACGCCAACCGCTCTTTTAGGGCGAATACAGAAAAGGAAGAAAAATATACAGGGGGGGGGGGGGGGGGGGTTTCTCTGCTGCACAATTGGGAGCCTTGTATGCACTTTCCACTGGCTCGGCAGATGAAATCAAAGATTAAGAAACAAAAGGTAACTAAGGGGCTCCGCCAAAGAAACTGATTCTAAAACGAACTCATCGAGCCGAAATAGCTGGGAAACACTGGACTTAAGAATCAACATCACAGCACAATGGGCATACTCAAATACACTGTCTCTAGCAGTGAATATTTAAAACCACTTCAGTTCTAATGTCACATTCTTCCTCTCTCACACCCTTTCTTGCCAGGACCACATTTAACTCCATATTTTAACATCTTTTCATTTTTTTTATACATATAACTGTCTAAAGTACCAAAGCTCATCATCAATGGCATGCATGCTCTCAAACATTGCAGTGTAAAGGAATCTTTATAAACTAAACTTCCTAATGTTACAAAGTACCAACCTTGATTTTAGTATCCTTTTTAGACGAGCCAGGTCTGGGAGTCAGTGGCAGTGCAGTAACTGGCGAACGGCTGAGGGAGGTATTCAAATGAACTGAGCTACCTGGAGATCTAAAGTCTGTGCTATCCAGGGATGAACGAGTTGGTGTGCCTCTGATGGGTGCTTTAAAAAATGAAAGATGTGTATTAATGTTTGTTCATATATGAGTGAATATTCACACATTCTCTTTCTCAGTAACAAAACAGTTAATGAAATGATAGGTATCATCCCAGTATGGGTTCCAGGGCCCTATTATAGGGAAAACAAGAATAGACCCGCTGCCTACCCAAAAGCAGGTCGTAAGAGTCGACTAATTAGGAGCTTTCTTCGAAGTGGGAGTGCATCTGCCTGAGAGGCAAGGAACCAACAGTCTGCATAAAAATTAGTCAGATCTGTCAAACGGATGCACACACACCACTCAGGTTCTGGAACAGGACCGCAGTCCCAGAAGTGGACGAACAGCCAGAACTTTCCGCTGGAGTTTACAGCCGGTGAACGCGAAGTAGAAGAAGATAGGTATCAAAAATGTAAAGAGGGGGGGGGGGCGCCTGATTACTGCAGTTGACACACTGCATAGAAAATTTTTGAGACAATATCAGATTCACATATTTAAAAATACCAAATTAATTTTCACAATATGGGAATTGAAAAATAAATGGTTCCCTGGTCAGGCAAAACATGTAGATAACTCGGAGAAATTACGCAAATAATGAAATCAATGCATAATATAAATGCTGTTCTAAATAACGTGAGTGTATGCAAAAAAAGTCTTCACATATTTTCAAGTAAAAGATTCAGAGAAACATACGTTCATACTATTCGATTATAATCACAAGATCTCTCTCTTTTTGCTTGCGCATAATAATTACGTGCTCACTCAAAAAGTTACAAATAGAAATTATCAGTAACTAAAACTAACTCTGAGAGTCGCCTTAATGTAGCGACTAGACGCTCGCCTGCAGATCAGAAGGTCGCAAGTTCGGGTCCTGGCGGTACCAGACTTTTTTTCCAAAATGATCTTGATCCAGCCTTAAATGGGTACCAGGTGGAGTTCTGGAAAGGCACAGGCAAGTGTCTATAAAATATAGGTCTATCGCTATATGCCCAATACACATGAAGGCATGAAATAGTCCTTTTACTTTACTTGAAACTAACTCTAACCACAACAGTAACTACAACCAACTAAAAGACAAACAGAAAAACTTACTTATGTCCAGTTTTTTAGCAAAGCTTCTTGATTTGATTGGTACAGAGCTAGAAGCATGGTTCCTTTTATTCATGAGCGTTTCAGAGGCTATAATTAAAAAACAGATCTTTTATCAATAATGTACACACATACCGTGCCCAGAATAAAAAAGACAAGAAAGAGATGGTGATGACAAAGGGAGAGAGAAAGACAGTCACACATATTGACATGTGTGTGCTGTACATAAATGCTTTTTACAAGAGATAATATTCTTTTTCTTTTGCACCGGCTGTAAACTCTGGAAGAAAGTCATGGTTGTTTGTCTACTTCTGGACTTTGGTTCTGTTCCAGAATTTGAGATTTACATACACATCTGATCTACAGATCTGTATGCAGACAGCTGGTTCCTCACTTCTCAGGCAGACACAATGTGACTTCAAATGATGTACACCTTAGTCATTTTTACCCTGGAACTCACTCAGGGAAAGCAGTAATACAGCTATAATGAAGCAGTAGCTATACCAGGATTTCCTAGTTCTTAAGGTTCCCATCGACCCCTTTCTTTGGCTTATAAAAAGTATGTGCTCCATTCTTTTATTGTTCTGGATTATCTTCTTCTTCTCATAGTCCATGTAGTGTGGCACTGGTAGTCATCTCTTCTGACAAAGATGACGTTGCAGATTTCACCCCTTCCAAACAAACGCTTGCTGGTGGATCCTATGGTCCTGAGTTCAAATCCAAATGCACCTGGACTTTTCTCAGACATGACCTTAGCTCCCAGGTTGACCCAGCTTAAATGGGCACCAGGTAAAGTCACAGGAAGTAAAGGCAGCTGGCGTAATGACCACATCATCCACTGAGGGGCGATAAGTCTAAAAAAAAGTGTATCAAGCCTCATGGGCCCGATGCACCACTGGCATGCAAAGGAACTTTCACTTGAAACAAAAGACCTCATATGGTGACTAAGCCGAGAAAACAATTATGCATTCTTCTTATGTCTTATCTGATCAGCTTCCTCTCCGCCACCTGCAATAATATGTTTGGCAAAGTGATCAAGCTGTTTGCCGCACACTTTGAATGTTATGGTTTCATTTCACAGCGGCATCCTTTGGTTAATTGTGCAATGTTTACGGAGATCCCTGGGGATCATCCCTGGAGTTGCAGAGTTCTTGCTATGTTGACGCTCTCTGCAGGTCAGATATTCTGCAGAGAGAGACCGAGTCATATGGGATTAAACAAAGTTGATCCTCTCACTTTTAATCCTGAAAAATGTTTATATATCTTGAAATGCCTTTTGAGTAATAAACAGATAAATATTGAAAACCCAGGTAACAGAGAACTTCTTTTGATTTTTTGAAGTACAGGAAACATACTGCCTGGGTGATGTAACTTATCATAATTCTTCGTTGGAAATTCTCATTTAAAAGAGAACAGTTGAAAGCAAGGACAAATAGCCTAAATTCATTAACTGACAATACTATAGAATAAATTTAGGGACATGGCTTCCGGACAAAATAGACGCCAGGCGCGGTTACTGTTTCGCGTCGAGGTAAATTGTTTGCTTCTGCCAGGCGGTGGCCATTGCATTTTTACCCATTTATAGACTAAAAGGATACAATTCCGTGCGCCAGCTACTGAGTTAAGTGCATGGCGCGACCCTATGACCTGCGGATTTCATTTGGAATGTTTTTCGACTGTGACCAACGGGTTGTTGTGAACTGTAGATTCAGAAAATGGCGCGTGGCCTGTCGTCGCAATATTGGTGGTGCCCTTATGTGATTAATATTGATCGCGTGCGCAACTGCTGATCTGTTGGCGATTTCTGCTACCGTCGATGATGAACTGCATTTCTAATGTAAAACTGTTTGTGTTAGCACTCCTGATGGTGACCGTATGCTTTTAATGCGTGTGTAGGCTAGTGCATATGCTGAGACAGCAGTCTGTCAATCTTTCCACAAGGGACTGTGATAAACATTCTGTGTGTTTTTCGTTGGCACAGGAGCGGAGCAACTATGGGGTAACTCGTTTGCTATGAAGCTGAAACTAAGATTACCAAGATTATAGAATAAATGTTTAAGCTATGGTTTTGATAATTTAAATACTGCTGAAAATAGGAACATCTACCTTGTCAAGTTTGATATTTCCACAGGCCAAAGATGTGATAGAATCAGAAACAAACAGAAGGTTATAATGTAGAACATGTAGACACATTTACTGTCAGATGGATTACAGTTAATATACAAAACAACAATAAACAAACAAACAAAGAAATGAAATTTCTTTTTTTAACTAAATGTCGAACACATCAGAATGAACTTGACACTCACACTTCTGAATAATCTCAGCCCTAAGAGCTGCAGATTTAGGTCTTCGTTTCACTGTGAAATGCTTGCAAGGCTCAGGGATGTGTCCTGCTGCAGCGGTCAGTGATGCCTTGTTGAGGTATTGACAGTCAAGTGGCATCATACACACTGTGGAATTCTGAGCTAAAAACAAATAAATTAAATATTATTTAAAGAACTTAGTTAACAGGTTGTTTGTGTAAATTAGTTGCTCTGACTGATGAAGTAAGACAGCAGTTCCCAACCAGTTCTCTGCTGCACACTTGGGAGCCTCGTGTGCAATTTCCAAGGGCTCTTTACATGAAATTAAAGATTAAGAAACGAAAAGTAACTAAGGGGCTCCGCCAAAGAAACTGATTCTAAAATGAATTCAGCAAGCCGAAATAGCTAGAAAATGATGGACAAGTATCATCACTGCACAATGAGCAGATTCAAATATGCTGTCTCTAGCAGCAAATATTTAAAACCACTTCAAGTTCTAATGTCACATTCTTCCTCTCTCGCATCCTTTCTTGCCAGGACCACATTTAACTCCATATTTTAACACCCTTACATTTTTTTAAATACATATAACTGTCTAAAGTACCAACGCTCATCATCAATGTCAAGTATGCTCTCAAAACACTGCAGTGTAAAGGATGCTTAAAAAAACTAAGCTTCCTAATAAAACATTAGTCTTGTACCAGAACATAAGTGTTGTGTGCACATCCCTTTTACAGATCTGGCTTATTCTTTTGGTTTCTTGCCTCTCAGACAGATGCACCCTGACTATGAAGGGTGCTCCTAATTAGTTGACTCTTACAACATGCGTGTTGGGGAGACAGTGGGTCTATTCCCCACAATGGAGGTTCCATACAAGAAGAATGAGATTGGTTAATCAAGGTACTTCAGCTATATACAAATTTTAAATTGAGAGGATTGGCTTCACTGCACAAGACATTACAGCAACCTTTAATGTGGACGGTGATGATGAAAGAAGTCTAAAGGCCCTACAGCAGTATCAGCAACCATGTTATAATACATTTCCTAAAAAGACTTTATATTTATTCATTCATGCAGCCAAGTTTGATCTCTGTGTATTTACTCAGTTATAAACTAACCGTACTCACCGAGCACTTTCATTTCCTCTAAGCTGGCCAGCATGTTGGAGTCCGCCCTGCTTTCTTGTTCCACTAACAGTAAAGCACCCGTGGCAGGAAACTCGCGTAATATCTCTCCAATCGTGGCAACCCATGGATCTGGATCACCAATTCCAAGTGAGATTATTTCCTCAATATCGGCCTGCCACTAAATATTAAGAAAAAGGTCAAAATATTTAATCTATTTTAAAATATCCACTTGAAAACAAACAATGATAAATTCTGAAGTCACACAACTGACTTAGCGGCCTGAGTAAGTTTTTAATTATTTAGTTGACAGATTATCCTCAATGCAAATCGAACCATTCAGCCCAGTTTCGTAGGAGTAGTTACATAGCTGGCACTCTGGGGAGTGTTGTGGCTGTATTCTGTTTAGATGTCCACTGAGTGGAGTATGTTGTGTTCTGAGTCTGAAGATGGTGGCTTGGTCCCTTCTAGTTAAATGGTTAATGCTGTTGTTAGGATCAGGGCTAGCCATGTGTCTATAAACCTCTCTTCCAGTATCTCCCATGGCCCATCTGTTCAGCCAAGTCTCTTTGTTTATAGCTTTTATAAGTGTTTTTGCTGTCTGTAGGGTTGTCGCTGTAGGTGGTTGTTCTTGTGTTGCTCCTTTCTTTGCCAGTCTGTCAGCTCTGTCATTACCTGGTGTGCTGGAGTAGCCTGGAATCCACTGCATCACTATTCTGATGTTGTATGAGGTAATGAGCTGATCAGCGTCTAGAATTATCTTAACTATGTCAGCTCTGCAGCACTCACTGCCCTCCAGAGCTTGAAGAGCAGAGATTGAATCGGTGAAAATGACAACACAATGGGCCCTCGAAGGACAAACATCCACCACAGTCCCTAGGTGGTACACTGCAGTTTCCAGTACAATCACTTCAGCTTTACAATTTGAGCAGAACCCCCCGCATGCATCAAACATCTCTTCAACAGATTCATAAATTTCCAAAGTGGCCCCTTCTCTCCACAACCCGAGGGGCCCCACATCTGCATGGACCTTACATGCAGCAGCCAGAGCAGACCGCATAGCTCTGCTGACCAATTGGAGGGCATCTTTTTGTACTCTGTCAAGAGACTCTAGGTTTGTCTTGGAGCAGGTTGCAAGCAGCGAGTTGTTATACTCTATCACAGAGCAAACATATCTGAGATACAAGCCCCTCAGAGTTTCCTTGTCTGATCTCCATGCTGTACCTGCAAGTCTCTTCAATAACTGCAACCGCTTCAATGCCCTATTCCCCATATTTTCCATAAGATTCCTGAGGCTCAGCCGCCGGCCAAGCGTGACTCCAAGATATGCAGGATGCCCCTCCCTCATCACCCGGTGCCTGTCCAACCCCAGGTCAATATTCCCCCTTGCCCCCCGGCAAAGATTGTGTAGACCGTTCTTGTATAGCTAACCTTGAGCCTCCATCTCCGGCAGCACCCGTGCAGTCCTCCAAAGTCTCAATTAAGTCCCTGGGCTCCACCTTCCACATCCCCACGACTCTGCCACATTGCCAGATCATCAGCGCACAAGGCCCCTTTGGCCCCGACCTGCTCCGGCAAGTCGTTGATACAGATCAAAAATAGTGCACAGCTCAATGATGAGCCCCGTGGCAAGCCCTCCTCCAAGACCTTTCCAGATGAGATCGCGCTGTGTATCCTAGTCTGGACCGCCCTATCTATCAGAAAATATTTCACCCAGCCAAACAACCCGCCATGTATTCCTATTCCTATGCTCACCATCCCCATAAGGAGGCCCCTCCCCCATACTCTGCCACAGGCCCACTGAAGGTCGACAAAGATGGCCACTGTGTGTTTCCCACTCTGGAATCTGTCATGAACTCCCTGTGTCAATCTGAACAACTGGTCCCCTGTACAGCCACCGGCTCCGAAGCCTGCCTGCCCATGGCACAGAACACCAGAACTCCTGAGAAACCAACACAAGCGCCTGTCCATCATTCACTCAGCAACCCTGCCCAAGCATGATGTCAAGGACACCGGGCAATAACCTTTTGGGTCGTCTGGAGGCTTACTGGTTTAAAGTATTGGGACGATATCATTCCCCCATGCTTTTGGAAGTTTGCCTGATCTCCATATCATGTTAATTAGCCTGAGAACAACTCAAATGTTATGTATACCCAATCCTGTTATATGGTGCAGAAACTTAGACAATGACCAGGCAACTAGAAAATCAAACTGTCTCTGGAAATGTGGGTATACAGAAGAATAGGTCGAATTTCATTGAAACAAAAACAGTCCAATACAGAGATTCTGGAAAGACTACAAATGAAAAGAGAATCATAGAAAGAAAGAAAAAAGGAGACAACTGAAATACTCTAGCTACATTAACATACATAAAAGTCAGGTTCTGGAACAGGACTGCAGTCCAAAAGTGGATGAACAACTAGAACTTTCTGCCAGAGTTTTAGAGCTGGTGAACGCAAAGATGATAACACTTTTAAAAATCATACTGAAGGGAGAGGCAAGAGGTGGCCAACAATACAAGTGGGAGGACAACGTCAAGAGATGGACAGGAAGCAGTCTAAGAGAGTGTACAACCAGGACAAGAGGGTGCATGTTGGAGATCCATTGCAGCCAACCTTTACTGTGGAGACTGCACCTGACTTGACTGAAGGACAGTGACCAGTTTTTGTGGGCATCCTCTTTAATTATTTTTTAACCAAAATCTAATAAAGCACCTCACAAGATACAGCAGAATATGTAGGGCAATAAACTGTATAACATATTGTGTGCAACCACATTATTTAAATTCACAATAGAAAAACATGTTGGTATTATAGTCAAGTATAATGAGTGACTGAGCTGTTTCATTCTGAAAGAGTGTATTCACCCTGATTACTGCATTATATGTGTGTGTGTGTGTTTGTGATATGTGTATGTGTTGCAACTGTTATTTCTAGTTTGTAACTATGTAACTGAAAACTTTGATTTTCTTATCTAAAGGCTGGTCAAAACATTCTATTGTGTTCATCTCATCTTATACTCAGTTCCCTAGTAATTTTTTTTTTGCAGCGGAAATGTTTCCGCCGAGTTAAAGTCACCGCTGAGAGTATCTCCCGCGCGGCTATGTGTGGTGCGGAGCGGGGCTAAACTAGATGGCTGGGACTCATGAGCAGCAGCTACCGCATCTCCTGCCGCTTCCTTAATTTTATTTTATTTGCTTGTGAGTCCCAGCCACCGCGTAGCGGCACGGGAGATACTCTCGGCGGTGGCGGTATTGTAGCAGGAAAAAAGTCCGCAATTTACGAGACGCTGTTAGGGTAAATTTTTTGCCTCGATAATTTGGAACCGTTATTTCGAGGATAGCCGAATAGTGAATACCGAGCTACTTAAAATCTTTCCACTTAAGAAAAAAAAAACTTTAAAAACACACATCACACAGTCACACACAGAAGTCGAGAAAGTACTCAAAAGTGATATCTTCCCACGTCACAATGTATTTCTATTATGAAACTATTATATAAAAGAAGCTCAATTACTGCTTGCAGTAGCAAATTTTGCTTTCACTTTCATTTGCTAAACAGTTTGGCAAACTTAATTTTAATATTTTTAAAATTGGGCAATTGGCGATTGTGATTGTTGGGAAATTAATCAAATTTTTACCTGATCAATATTGCGACGAGGAATGTGAATGAATGACAGTAAGAGCTTTACTTTCACATGAGACTGCAATGCGTGAAAGCAGTCTTGAATATTAATCAATTTTTCCCGAGACAGCTGTGAACAAATACTTTTCCCTGACCACAAATCGTCAGTCGATCCTAATTTGTTGTGGAGCCACAAAGCTGTGTCTCCAGCCGCCATGTTGGGAAATTCAACGGAAGTGACCAAATGTTGTTGGTAGCAGGCGTCGATCGATTTCTTCATTCACGTCACAATTTCAAATAATTGCACACGCAATAAGGCAACTATTCGTCATCTGTTTTTCCAAGAACCTTGTACAAATTTCAGTCTGCCCACAAAATACAAGTGGTTTTCTGGAAATCTTTTTAATAGAATAGAGACTATTGTTGTTTCGCATAACAGATATTTTTATTTTAAATTTTCTGATTATTTAAAAAGGTATAGATTATTAATTTTTAAATTGGGCATTTGGCGATTGGGAAATCCAATCAAAATTTTACCTGATCAATATTGCGACGAGGAATGTGAATGAATGACAGTAACAGCTTTACTTTCACATGGGACTGTAATGCGTGAAAGCAGTCTTGAATATTAATCAATTTTTCCCGAGACAGCTGTAAACAAATACTTTTCCCTGACCACAAACCGTCAGTCAGAAAGCAATGGCAAACTACTGGACGTAAATTTGCCTAGAGAATTCACTCAACAGCCAGGGGCTGCTGGAGTTTGTTCTGCAACGTCCTATAAAGGATACGCAACTAATAAATCAATAGATTATGTCTTTGGGATAATTGAGATGTTCTTATTCTGCTATTTAACTTTGAGTATATAGGAAAATATTAAGGAAGGCCAAAATACACATGGAGAAGGGTGCTAGAGAATGAATTTAGACAGATGGGGTGGACACTGGGATAGCTGCATGCGATAGTAAAGGATAGAATGAGTTGGTTGAGGGCCTATGCTCCAATGGGGGCTAGAAAGGCGAAAGAGGAAGAATATAGAAAGACATTAAAATGTCTTCAGTTTGTAGTATAACAACTCATCTTCATATCATAAAGTATTTTCCCCGTTGCACTCTGTGCTAATGGTGTCAGACGTGGACATTTTTCCTGCTCACCCATATAAGCATAATATTTGTACGATGAGATGACTGTAAAGCACAATTGTAGCGTGACCGAGTGAGACATGATACCAACAAGCGGATTTTGGGATGTGGGAAAGACACCTTGCATCGAATTCATTAAAAAGCAGAAGATCAGATGCTTTGATCATCTTGTTATAATTCAGCCACAACAGCTACTAACACAGGAATTACAACTCAAGAGATAACATGCGAGCGCAAGAGGGCACTTAAGAAGAAAATGGGTGTATGACATTAAAGACATATCCACACAGAATGACATTGGCTTGTGCCACCTATCGAGCGCTGGGCAGCTGACTGTTTCTCTCCATGCCGCTTAACAAACGTAGAAATTGATGATGCTAATAATGATGATGATGTCAATGTCTGCTGAAAATATTATTCTTACTGCCCCATGTGGATTCCAGGATCCCACTGTCGGGGAAAACAAAAATAGATTCACAAGCATGGCCTAGGGATCGACTGATTGGTGGCATCCTTTTAAGTCGGACGCATATGCCTGAGAGGCAAGGAACCAACAATCTGCAAACAAATAAGCCAGATCTGTAAAACAGATGTGCATGCAACACTCATGTTCTGGGAAAAGACTAAAGTCCGAAGATGGAAGAACAACTAGAACTTTAAACCGCAGTTTGCAATCTGTGGAGGAGGAGGAGGAGGAGGAGGAGGAGGAGAAGAAGAAGAAGAAGAAGAAGAAGAAGAAGAAGAAGAAGAAGAAGAAGAAGAAGAAGAAGAAGAAGAAGAAGAAGAAGAAGAAGAAGAAGAAGAAGAAGAAGAAGAAGAAGAAAAAGACAGACAGACAGACAGACAGACAGACAGACAGACAGACAGACAGACAGACAGACAGACAGACAGACAGACAGACAGACAGACAGACAGACAGACAGACAGACAGACAACTTGATTTCGATCGGACTGCCTACCGGCCAGACCTGGAATTCCTACTGCATCTAGAAGGCCATATGCTGCACATAATTAGTATTTTGTCCAAGTTCTCTTTCCTGGATTCTTTAATTTCTTGTGCATATCCACATATCGCCGCGGAGTCTGTTATGGTTAAAAGAGAGGGAGGGGGTGTATCAACGTAGTCTCCCCAACCCCCCCCCCCTTCCCCAACCACCCCTGCCTTAAAAATTGTTAAGGGGTTTCACGGGAGACCTGATTCCCTAGATTACGGTTCCCGACGCGACTGAAGGAGGAAAATTATTATTAATTATGAAACAAACAGAATCTCAGCCCCCCCCCCCCCCCCCACGTCATCGTCAAAACATAGGCACACAAACTGGGTTAGGGGTGTGATACTCAGCAGTTCCACACCCACCCCCCCCCCCCCCGCCCACCAAGCTCTTCTCTTCACCTTACACATTTCTCGGCAAATTAATGAGTGGAAGGCTCACACACACACACACACACACACACACACACACACACACACACACATACACACACACACACACACACAGAGGCTAGAAAATTCTTCTTCTTCTTCTTGTTCACCGGCTGTGAATTCCGGCGGTAAGTCGCGGTTGTTCGTCCAAATGGACTTTTGGCTTTTACCTTGACCTGAGTTTTGCGTGTACATCCGTTTTACAGGCTTATTTGTTTGCAGTTCTCGTTCCCCGCCTCTCCGGCAGATGTACTCCGACTTCGAGGGAAGACGTCAAGCCTATTTCTAGGTTGACTGTGGCCATTGTTTTGTGTGGGTCGGGATGTTGCCTCATTTGTGTGGTGTCCTCTTTGACCTTTAACAGGTGCGGCCCCCGAAATGTCGTCCTTAAAGCAGCCCTAGGTAGAATTTTCAGCTCTCAAGGGAAGGCAGGGGCAGATCATGGGCATTCCCCGCCATCCAAGGAGGCTTCCATAAATGCAGAGCCGACACATGATGCTCTGGTTCTGGGCTCACCCAAGGAATCGTCACGTCCTGCTAATGACTGCTTAACCTCACAACCGCGTATTGAGCTTCCCGTGCTACAAGGCTGCGCTCTCCGGAGATCAGCGGGGAGCAGCCCGCAGGTCCAGGACTTTTCTGGCCACACAAATAGGTACATTCTTTTTCATCGTACGTTAGACACCTTTAACGTTGTTTCAGCTGTGCCCTTAGCACGACAGAATAGGGAAGCAAAATGCGTCAGGCGTGGCTTCACCTGTTTGGTCCCAACACTCGGGCGAGTAGGACCAGTGGATACGGACATTTTGACTTTTTCCTAATCGGTACAAATTATGATCGTCGGACTTTGATCTTGCATGTGTGCCGTGGGATAAAACTTTGTCGGACATTATTTCCCAGCCAGCATATGTAAAGTTGCTGCCGTGGTGTACCTCAGCGCGGTGACGACGACACTGAGGATTGACAGAGGATGTACGTAGGTAGGATCTTGCTAAAAAAAAAAGAGAGATGTTACTCGTCTTGGCTGCGGGTAAATCTCTCAGTCAGGGTTGAGTCTCAGCAGCACAGTTTTCCATTCGCTCCAGAATTTTAACCGAGAGTTGTCATTTGATGGTACATTTAGCATGCAATCCTTGAGTTTTGTTAGACTTTTCACCCATGCGTTTGGGGGCGGGACACTACACCTCTAGGGGCCGCCAGCTCTGAGATCCCCTGCCAACTCTGTTAATGCTCATTTGAGACATTATCCGCGGCGCACGACGGGGACGTGCAGCAGGAGTCTTGCATGAGGTTCCGTAAAACCAGAACAGTGAAGGACTGGCGCCCGAGTGGGGTACGGAGTATCTCCTTATACACATCACATCAGACTTAACTTTGCCTCATGCCTGTGACGAAATCACCGCGCCACGGCTAGAAAATGAAGTAAGCTCATTCCTCCTCAAATGTCTACTAATGTCTGCTATCCACACTGCCCAAAAACTGTGCGGCTCTTATCGGCCTCACTTGTAACTTTCCTAAATAAATGTAATCAGACATCGGCGGGGTTGGAATATGATGCTAGACTTAAATATCCGTAGATCTCGATATAAAACGTACAAATAGGGCTAAGTTAACCCAGAAATCTTCTTTGTTGTGTTCGCCAGTTTTAAACTCCAGGCGGACAGTTCTGGTTGTTCATCCACCTTTGGACTGCAGTCCTGTTCCAGAACCTGAGTGTTGCGTGTGCATCCTTTTGACAGATCTTACTAATATGTATGCAGACTGCTGGTTCCTTGCCTCTCAGGCAGATGCACTCCGACTTCGAAGGAAGCTCTCAATTAGTCGGCTCTTACGACCTGCTTTTGGGTAGGCAGTGGGTCTATTCTTGTTGTCCCTATAATAGGGCCCTGGAACCCACACTGGGAAACCCAGAAATGTAACAATAGTCTGGTTTAACCATTTTTCATACTGCATAGGGGAATGTTGCAAGTGCTACTGCATTTATCTCAATTTCTAGTCTTCGATGAACCAAAACATATTTGAAGGATCATATCTGGAAGAAAGTAGAGTACCCACAATGACATCTTTCTTCTCTTCTGCCTTTCTAGCCCCCACTGGAGCATATACCCTCAACAAACTCACGCCAAGTCGCTCTATCTTTTGCTATCGCATGCAGCTCTCTCAATGTTCTCCCCATCTTTCTAACTTCATTCTCCAGCTCCTGTTTTTTATTTTGACCTTCCTTTATTCTTATGCTCCTGTGGGTTCCAGTTCAGAGACATTCTAGTTTTATTGTTCTCCGGTTTTCTCAATGTGTGTCCTATCTAAAACCAGCGTCTTTTCTTCACCTCTTGGTCCACTGGAGCTTGCTTAGTTCTCTCTCAAAGCTCTACATTTGTGATTTTATCATACCATTTAATTCCCTCTATTCTACGTCGGCACCAGTTAATGAATCTCGGTAATTTATTAAAAGACGTGAATTGTCGAGTTCTTCGTGAGAGAAAGCTAACAGATACATTTGTAATAAAAACAGGTGCGCGACAGGGATATCTTTTGTCGCCTTTCCTATTTTTACTGGAATAGACTGGATTTTGACGACAGTAACTGCTAACACCAAGAATTAAATTCAGTGGACCCCTACAAAACAGCTTGATGATCTAGAATTCGCCGATA